AGGTGTGCCAGAGAAAAGCAATAATAACAACGAAAATTGCAATATGGGCTCTGGTAAAAACATGAAATGATAACAGCAAAAAATTGCAATATGAGCACTGGTTAAAAATAGTTATAAAGACATTAGGTTTATAATAGCCAGAAATTCATACACAGATGTCCTCAAGGACACATGGCACAGTGGATAAAGGCGTTCGTTAGATCCAGTGACAAGACCCAAAGATTACGAGTTCAATACCTTGTTAACTTGGAGAAGGGAATTAACAGGAGATAACTGATAACTGACATCCATTAGACATGGCACGTGGAACTAGAACAGACTACCCAGTGAGTGTAATAAGTGCACAACGGTCGAAATGTTGTGGTAAATATGGCAACAAAGATTAGGACAATAATCTGAATAATGTAAATAGTGACTGCTTATATTTTTTTTATTTTACTTTTTATGCATTTATCATTGGTGTAAATTGTTTTCATATTGTTTATGTTTGTGTTGTATTTGCATGTGTGTAGCTATGTACCTGTCTGTGGTGTGGATGTATGTTTGTGTGTGTATGCTTGTCTGTGCATATTTGCATACATGTAAAGTGTCATGATCCATCATTTTCTTTCCATCATTTTTTTGTTCAATTTACATTCAATCCTTTACTTTTTCTCTTTTCTCTCCCTCTTTTCTTTTGATTGTAGCCATTTGTGGCCAATTATTATGATCTCTAGACACCATTTTTAATTTTTGATTTTTGAGCATTCTTGTCCTTTGTGTTAGCAAAGTTGTATTATGTTTTTTAAATAAGTAATTGATATTAATGCTTAAATGATAAATATTATATTTTTCTCATTTGGTTTGGTGGTATCTTAAGTATTAATTGAAGGAAGTTAGGTTTATAATTAAATTTTCTTTATTATTGTTTAAATTTATATGCAAATTTCAGTATTTATATGCCTGTGCATACACATGTGCACATTCTTGCATGTACTTATATAGGTATACACACATGTACACATATACACATATAAACGTGGATGCACAGGCACATGTACATTTATGTCTATGCTTTGTTATTAATAAACTATTGCTTAAATGCTAAAGTTATTTTTTCTATTTTTAGGGTATTAATTATAGTTGGTTGGGTTTATAGAATGTTTTCTTTGTTTGGATATGCATATATATAGTATATACTCCCACACATTCATGCACACACATGCAAACATGCTGTAAGCATGCACATATATATAATTGTTAAATAGTTCATATGTATTAACAGTATAAATGAATTCAAAATTTCTTTTAAAATACTGTGTGTGTAGTATTCCCATCAAAACATATTTACAGTGGTCAATATGTCTGAAGTTCTTTTATGGTTTTATATCTTTTTATCAAAAAAAGGAAAAAGTGTAAAAGACAACTGATAAAATAAAACCGCTATTAAAAACATTCATTTATCTAAATAATTTTGAAAATGTTTATAGAGAAAATGTTTATATTTTAATTAACAAAAATAAATATTTTTTTTACTAATTGTTTATGCAGTACAAGGCCTAAGAGCCACTCAAGGTAGAGGATTGAGGTTGTTGAATGAGCATAAGTGTAGAAACTAAGAAGTGCAGTTTAGGAGGATATGGAGGAAAGGTAACGGTTAACTCTAGACTTGAAGAGGTTAAGATTGTAGTGATCAGAGAAGCATCCTCTTGGGGGTCTGTTCCACAAAGTAGATGTTCTTGGGAAGATGCTGTCCAAACAGTGATGATTCACTCCAGTGTTTGGGGCATGGCCGGTCTTAACTGTGAAGGTCAGAAGTGGTGGGACTAAGGAATGTAGCTTGTCAGAACATTTGCCATGGAAATAGCAATAGAGTAGTGAGAGGTTTGTGGCATTTTGTCTGTGTGGTAGGTATTGTAGAGTGAAAAATAATTAATCACCTACAAGGCCATAGACATGTTTCTGAACTCTATCAAGACTGGAAACTGAAGACTGTACAGCTCTAGCCCAGATATAGCAGCAGTACTCCATTCCTGTTCTGAACTGGCTCTTGTAAAGATAGAGCCTAGTAGGAGAAGACAGGTACTTACTGAAGCAGTACAAGGAACTGACCATGTTTCCAGCATCTTCAATTGGTCATATACAGGGTGCGATGGATAAATCTTTATTTTTAATTTCATGCATGTGTGTTGTTTGTTTTTGATTTTGTTGACTGAACAGTATAGTAGGGTAAGTTTGGTACTGTTGTGAGAAAAATGGCACCATGCTGCAATTCACTTCTCCAGAAATTTGAAAAAAGCATGCTTTACTGCTTGGCATTTGCACCAGAAGCTCTAATATGAACATTTCTGAGTGTTTGGGTGTCAATCTGAGGACAGTAAAGATGATTCAGAAAGAGTTGGATGAGTCTAATGGTGATCATGAATGTATAGCAGCTTGGAAAACTCACTCTGATTGTTCTGATAAGAAAAGAGCTCATGAATTTGTTGGTGAGAACCTCAGACTCAACCTGGAGGCCTACATCAAGTACCTTGAGGAGGTAGTGCTGCTCTGGTTCAAGAAGGTGGCTGCTGAAAGATTCTATGAATTGCCTTCTTGAAAGAACAACCATTCATCATGAGTTATGAAAGTTCAAAGTCTGTTTGGTGGTGATAATATAACATTATGAGTTAAATCAATCATATTTTGAAACATTTTCCCAATTATGCCCATGACAGAAAGAAAGACTGATAATTTCTTGGTAAAAAAGAGTCCCTCAGAGGAAACTGATTTTATTTACCAAGTATTATGAAAACATTGAATAAGAAAATAAAATGTTTCTTCACACATCTCTTATTCCTGATTGAATTAATTTATTGATAAATTGGTTTTGATTAATTTATTCTCTGTATTTTCTGGGATATTAGGATAATAAACACAAGAACAGAATATATATTTTATGAAATAAAAAAAAAATTACAATTTTTAATTGAAATAAAATCTGGCTGCCTATATCTAATTATTTATTGTTTATTTAGTATTTATAGTTATTTGCTAGTATCTGTTTCTTTGACTAATGTCATTCTGAAGTAAATGAATCTCAAGATTTCTGAATGCTGTTTCATCACCAGTCATCTTATTTTTTTTATTCTTCTTGCAAAGAAGTAAGTGTAAGTCTCTTTTCAATCCTATTAGCTAAAGAAAGCTCTTTACTGACATAAAACTCTGATAAAACTTAGGATTAGATATAACATATTAAGATTGCCAAATTTAACTGGTATATTTTCAGAGTAAACAACCTTCAAACAAATCAAATAGTTTTAGAAGCACCCCCTCTATGGTTATTGCCCAAGAAAGAAATTTAAAAAAGTCTTACAGAATTGAATCAATATAAAATGACCAACCAATTCTGCTGTTGGTGCTGCCAAATTCCTCAACTGGCCATCTTGTGTTGGAATCATTACATAGCTAGAAATTTAAAAAAAAAACCCAAAAAAACAATATCTAAGTTGTTGCATTTGACAAAATCCTTGACATTATCAGAACATGATGGAATTCGAGGAATTTGCATGGTGCCACATTGACACAAGAATCTGTTACATCTTTGTGGGTGTCTGTCTTGATAGGAGCTGCCTGAAAGTGCATACTTAATGGAATGTCTGCATAGACAACAAATAATATTGGTGTTGACAAAAATGGTGTTTTTTTGTTTGTGCCTTTCTGAGTTAAAATATGAATTGTAAAATTAGCTGACATTTTAGTTGTTTGTTTTTTTGCTTCTCTTTAACAACTTTTGTATCAATACTCGTTTTTTATTCTATATAAACTGGTAAATATTAAAAAATATCTTTTGGGAAGAAAATTAATTTTGGTGAAAAGTTTTGTTTAATTATGCTAAGAGTAGCTCAGTTGCTCTTTTGTAAATGTGGCAGTAATTTTAATAAATAGAAATTATTATCATTCACCTTCAATGATTGTTGTATGTGTTTGATAGAAATTTCTGTCATTTGCAGTTCAGCTATAAGACTGCAATAATTCAAATTATTGTCATTTGCAATAAACACATTAAATAGAGAATATTGAAGAATCAGATTAAATATAATTTATGTATGTTGAAAGTTGTTTTTTTCTTCAAATTATTTTTTTATTCATAATTGCTTTAAATGTGAATATAATGATTTTCTCTCATGAAAATATAAGGTCACTGAAATTTTATTGTCTGCCAGTTTTTCAAAATCATTTTTATGAACTATTATAGTAAGTGTTGAAAGAATTTATAAACAATATAATATATATATTTATATATTATATAAAATGAATTCTCTCTTCCAGCTTCTTGCCTTTCTATATCAACTATAATCCTCATAAATTCAAATGCAATATTAATCATCACCTGTCTCCTGAAGCTTGTTCTTTTATTGCTATCTCTCCTCAATAAAGTTTTCTCAGTTTCTTACACTCTCTATAATCTTCTGTCTTAGTGGCTTTATCACCTTATTTGGGATGAAATGTTTAAAAAAACAAAGAAAATTTCATTTTGGGTTTGATATACAAAAATTCTATGAGCATAATGTTAGTAAAATTCTGATACTCAAATGTGAAATTAAAGTTTGATGTTAGATTTTATGATTTATGTTTTCACAGAAGGTTGATGCTACAATGCCATCTAAAAATGATTTTCTGTTAGATTTGGTTGAATAAACTAAAACTATAGCCACAGAGACTGACATTTATTGTAAAAGATAGCCAAAATATTAATCACAAAAACAATGCAAGAAATGAAATTTTATGTATAAACTTATGGGAACTCAAAAATATCTTAAGTCATCTCTAAATACAATAATAATAATTTGTCAAAATTTTTTATCATATTCATTCTGCATATTTGGCTGTGATGCATTTGCACTTATGAGATTGTGTGTCATAATGTGTGTATATTTGTCTTTGTATATTTGTACCCTAGTATTACTTTGTTGATGACTTAATAATAATAATAATAATAATAATAATAATCTGTCTCTTTTATCTATGATTTTCTACAGGAAAATATCAAAATTATGGCGGATTGCAATGAGGACAAGGTATTTTGGTTCTAAAGTAGAGCAAGAAACGGAAGAAACCTCTTCAAATATTCAATCTAAAAAATTGTGGATGGAATCGCACATTCAAGAAGAACTGAATAAACCCAAGCTGAAAGACTTCACTCTGGAAGAATACACAGAGAAAATGATCCAATATGGATATCTAATGGTAAGAACTAAAATATAATTAATGTTATTAAGATATCAACAATCACAAGTTTTTTAATATTAAATTTTACCCAAGACAATACTTGAGAAGCACTCATGGTAGAGGGTTACAGTCAAAGTGGAAATGCTGAATATGAATGGAAGGGAAGGTGGTAGAAATTGAAGATTGTGAGGATAAGGAGGATAGATCAAGATTAAAATGTTCAAGGAAGCATCTGTGCAGAAGTCTGTCCTACAAAGTGACTGTTCTTGGAAAAAGCTGGGTGGAAATTTTTTTTTTACAATTGGAATACAGGGGAAATAAGCATGATTCAACTCTGCAGATGTAGCATGTTATGTCCTAGCTGTAAATTCCTGAACTGGTGCAAACTGAGCTATTTGACAAAGAATTAATGACCAGAAAACAACCAACTCAAGAATTATATTGAAGAATATATACTTGCCTGAGATTGCTGATTATTATATGAATTATGAACTGCAATTCTTTCTGATCTTTTTTTTATTGAAATGATGTCAGAATTTTGAAGCATTTATAGAGAAAATGTTTTTTTTTCAACATAAGAACTAGTTATTTGCTAAAATGTGTTACTTTTAAATTTCTTTTCTTTTCTAGATATATATCTTTTCTTTTAATGACACTTGAAGACATTAAACAAAGTTTTAAGACTTATTCATTACTAAGTAAATTGCAGACAAAGTGCTAGCATGATCAGGTAGATCTACCTAAAATCTGGAATATCATCTACAGAATAAAACAAAAAGATAATATTTATTTGGGACTTGGAATCAGGATTGGGACAAGAGTTAGAAATTAATTCTTGACAGGAATTTGTGAGTCATGAATGAAGTTACTTAATGATAAAGCAAGAATAATATGAAGATTGTTTTATTTTTATCGAAAACTTTTTCACTTTTATCAGCAAGTGAAGAAGAAGAGAAAACAAAAATAACACTATTTTCTCTGTTGAATCTATTTTCTAACAAAAATGGTTCTAGTCATGTATATAACGGTAGAATATAATTACTGAATGAAAGATCACTTTACTGTGTTCTATGGTTGTTGCTGTTAGAAACAAAACAACACTGAGTGAAAATTTTAATCATTCAATCTTTCTTTTATTCTTATAGATATCCTAAAATTTAGGCTCACTGGTCTGTGGTCAATTTATTCATGTAGACTTTTAAGGTGGCTCTTGCATAATTAGGATAATTAGGCCCCCAGCCTAAAACTAAAAGAATCTCTGGTTCAGCAATGATAATTTTGGAGAAATAACTTTGAATTTCTCAATTCACTCCATGGAACTTCAAAACTTCACTTTGATTCAGGCTATATGTTCAATTCCGATTTGAGCCAAAAGTCCAATTTGGGCTGAAATGCCAATTCAGGCTGAAAAGTGAGTTCTTCAAATCATAAACTCCATGGAACATTAATTGTGTTAAGTTCTTTAAATCAGAAACTTTGTGGAACTTCAAAGCCTCATGTCATAAAAACCTCTCATTTTAACTGTGAGTACTTGGCATTTTGAAGAAATAAAATTGATTTCATCAACTCACAAAGTTTTCGAGATATTTAAACTGAATTTAAAGCAAAAAATTTTAAATTCATAAAATTTTTCTGTTACTCTAAACTCAATATAAATTAAAAACTTTTAAAATCACTAATTTTCTTTAGTTATTTTTAAAAAATGGCTAAATCTCTCTATGATTAGTTTCATTTTGTGGATTGATATCTGTACAAGGGTGCCTTGAATGTTGGTTGTTGCCAATAGTGCAACACATTACTCACTGCCTAATTGTGTTCACATTCACTATTTCATCTCCATAAGCATTCAGCAAGTCAATGTATATCAATGGGCATAACTTTTTTTCTGCATAGAGAAATTTAATGGTTTATATACACTTTTATATCTGATGGCATTTTGACACACTGTTGCTTAGCTACTATGTACAACAAAGCAAAAAATATGGGTTATTGGTGGGAAGGTTCAGTCTCTGCTGTCATACCAACAACATCTACTCTGATGTTGTGGGCCAACACAATAAAATAGGAGGCATTGCTTTTGGAGTGTTCCAGTATATGTGTGTAACTACAGCTATATATGTGTATGATTACATTTATGTTTTTATTTGTATGTATGTACATTTTTACATATATACCTATATATGTGTACACACTCCCTTTTCTTAAGATGTAAGTAACTTTGTTATTTGTTTAAGATAAAAGATACCTTGTTAGTCTCAAATAGCTAAGTGCTCTTCTACCAGAATGTTTTCCTCCCCTGTCCTTTACCAATCTGATGGAAATCTTTTAGATACACAAACTTAGTGTTTGTCCTTCATTTATATACATTAGTAAAGTTACTTATAGATTTACATTTTTTCTTGATTGCACTTGGAGTGGGGTGGGTTATTTGGACAATATGTAATCTGTTGCTTATTGGCTAGATAACTAGAGTGGCTGAGGCCCTAAGAGGGTTGCTTGAAGCAACATATCCCGCCACCTTAAAATAAACATCTCCTCATAAAAGTTTGCTAAAAATGCCTGGTATCCTGATATGAAAAACTGGGTGGTAAAACTCCTAAATACTTCATGATGAACATACAACTCAGTTAACAAGTCATTTAAGATGAGAAAAAGAGAATTTAAAATATCATATTAAAAGTAATAGCTGGATTGATTTAGATGGTTCAATTTTTAAGTGGTTAGCCTCATTTAAAATGTAATTCAAATGTTTATAAAATCACACTTTTTATGAAAACTGTTCATCCTTGGAAAAAGGGCAGTGCCCCTGCCATGATGTTCAGTATATAGAACTTGATAATAACCTGAATTTATATAGTTATGACAGTGGTAATAAATTTGCTACCAATGTTTCCACTAAAACCCTTTTCTAGTTACTGAACAAGACGATTATGTTACAAGATTTTAAATGTGTTTCTGTAAAAAACGTTGATGTTAGCATCAAACTAGAAGCTCATAGACTTGTCTAAGAGGGGGGGGATATTAGACCTTAAATGTTCAAGTACATATATTATGGTACACTAGCATTTCAGGAAGAAGGGTATCTATTATTTTATAGAAGAATTGAAGTGTTTGGCCATTTTTGTTAACAAACACCAGGTTTTCTATAACAGCCATTATAGAAAAAGAAATACAAGATATAACATGAAAATATAGACAAATCAAAACTAATATTTTTTATGTTAGCAGGATATACACTATATCAAATTTTATTATGCAAGTTAATGTTTTTATAATAAAACTGGTTAACCAATTACTATGTATAAAATTTTCAGAATATACTTATTTTGTAAACTGCATTTCACCACAGATGATGCCAAAATAGTCTTTACACTTAGTGTTCTTCAGAGAAGCCAGGTGCATCAGTGGGTTGATCTGACAAATGACTTCTTATCCACTGAGTGGAGACCCATGCAATTTGGCACAGCTGTGTGGGAAAGGACCGTATTACATGCAGTTATGATGGAAATCTTTTAGATACATCAAAAATACAGGCATTTCAGACAAAAAGGTTCACATTTCAAATGAATGGCTATGGACCTGTGCACACACACTGGTGATAGTAATTGACAAAGTACCAGAGTGAAATAAAATGTAATGCTAAATATGAGAGATTAAATCTTGTGTTATAATAAATAATGAACAGCAATATCATTACATTTTTCATAAGAGCAATATATTGTGTGAGTTTTGACTTATAACATCTATCATTATTTTTAATAAATATTGGTAATAACTTGTTTTGAGAGTCTCAGTGTGTAACATAAATTTTTATTTATAGATAAATCCAAAAGATATAGGCCATAGAAACATATTTGATTAACACAATATACCATATACCAGAATAAATTCTTATTTATCATTTTACATGCTAAAACATTAACGTTCTATAATCTTCATTAATCTTCTGTTCTTTGATTTTGTTAACTTTTCTATTGTTTTGAATTTAATATTTCTTGCAAAAGATCTTGGATATTGTTTTCCATTCTCATATGAATCTCTTTTAATGATGAGTCCTAAGTTTTGCATTGGCACAATATCTGGAGAGACTGGGGACCATTCCATTAATTTGTTGTCTTTGAAACCTTTTTTTGGCAAGATGGGTAATAGTCAACTTTGCAGAATGTAAAGGAGCATTACCTTGCACGAATATACTCTTTATCTTAAAGCTTCTTGGTTGTAACCTATACCACTCCAAAATCAACAAATCTAAGAACTTGCAATCATTCTCAGCATTTATTTTGCTGCCATCATCAAACTTGAAAAGACTTTTTAATTTCACTGCCTACAATACTAACCTAAAACATTACTCAATTTCCCTAATAATGTTGCTTTCTAAGTCATGTCGACTGATTTCTATGAAGGGCTTAAACTCAAGCTCAAACTTCATGTCCATCCTGTGTAGCTCTACATTCATCACTAAAAATGACTGTTGAGAAATCAGTTTTTGTTTACTTCTTTACTAAACTTATACACATTTCTCTTTGTTATATTTATTTAAAGTTGATAGTTTGGTTGCTATCATGTTTTTAGCCAATGTTTGTAATATTCTACACCATTTTTCTCTGATTACATTTATAACATCAGCTTCTTCAAATATCTTCTTGATGCTTAATTCACTTTTATGGTTTTCTCATAATTTCTCAAATCTCTTTTAGTAGCTTTCTTTTTTTTTCTTTGTTTTTATCTTGTCAATGTTTTCAATTACCTTCTGTATTCTCTGTTCAATTATTTCACATTTTTCAATTTCATGTTCCCATCCCTCAATATATTTTCAATGTTTTCTTTCTCTTTTGAAGTATATCTTTCTTAGAGTTCATAACAATTTTTATATATTTAAAATTAAAAAATAATTATCAATAACCATAAGGAATTAAAAGGTTGTGTGTTTCTATGTATTTTAGGTGGCATGTGTGTTCACATATAAACAATTAAATAAGAAGCATACAAAAATTTGAGGTTTCTAATACAGACCACTT